ACTAGGTTAGAATAATATTTTTTGTTGTAAAATAAGTGGTTCAAAGGCTACAAATAGTGGAATGAATAATGTATTTGTTTGATTATTAAAGGAAGATGGTGTGGCGTGACATTTCATCACTAACTTTGAAAACGAAATCTGGAACAACCGGGGTGCACATTATATCCCCGGTACGTTCCTTAAGGTTACACACCACTCTCGCTCAAAGACACTTTTGGCTGAAAGGTGGAGCCATATACACTTATGTCCAAAGAAGAAGAATGTGTTTAGCTCTTTTTGAATATGTAAATATGTGTATATCGTAGTATTTATGAAAGAGTTCCAAGCAATATATATACTATGCAAAGAAGATAAAAAAGGCAAATGTAACCTCTCCAACAAGTGAATTAATCAAAATAAAAAAAAAGACTAATCATAATAAACAACCACATAATGAAGGGAGTTACAAAGAGGTTACACAGGAAGAGGAGAAAGCCAATAGATATGTTGTTGAATGAATCTAGACATGAAAAAGTCTACTCCACAACTGTAATACCCCGTATTTTAATTTAAATCATTATTTTATAAAGTATTAAAATAATTCGAAATGAATATTTATTGTATTTTATTAATTTAAAAAAGGTTTATTTTTATTTAAAGGTCCATTTTTATTGATTAATTATTTTGGAAATATTTTATTTTATTATTATGAAATTTTGGGGCATATTATTTTATAAAAGGAAATTTAAAGTCAATGTATGGTATTTAAAGAAAGTCAAATGACTAGTTTGATTAGGAGAAGGAATCATTAAAGGTAGAAGCGGAAATTTAAGCTAGGAGGGTTTTAAGAGAGGGTATAAATATCCATCTAATGAGCAAGTTAGACCTTGCCCAAGGTAGAGAATACCCAAAGGTAAACTCTCTCTCTCTCCTCTTATTTTCTCTCCTTTAATTTTTCCCCTCCCCTTTTATTTTACACACTACACGCACACACAAGGTGGCCGGTCGCCACCACCACCTCCCACCGGCCGGCCACCGCCGCCAGCAGCAGCCGCTGGCGTGGATGGCGGCAGTAGCCCCCTCCCTGTCGTGTGGTTGTGCGGTTTTTTTAAAAAACAAACTCTTGTTTTAATTCTAATCTAGCCTTGATTCAATTATTATTTTTGGGCTTTGTGATGATTTTTATGATGTTTGATTATGAATATTATGCATATAATTTTCAAATTTAGTTTTTGAATTAAAAAGCCCCAAATTAAAAACTCTAGGTTTCTAAATTAATGTATATTGATGGAAATTGATTGTAGATAATTGAAATTATTGGAATAGGTGTTTTTAACTATAATTACAACAATTATACATGTTTTTATAAAGCTGGAATTTTTTATATAAAGGTTAAAATTATGTTTTCTTGAAAGGATTTTTAATTACCCATTAATTGGGAATAAAAGTAGGGGTTTTTAATTACTTTTCAGCTTGTTTTAGAGGGTTTATAAGTGATTTAAAGAGTGTATATAATGATGAAAATTTATATTGAATAGGTATTAATGTTTCTTTGTAATTTTGGGTTGTAGGAGACTTCCAAGTGATCGATTTCATTTAGTCGTGGCGATTTTGAGATCATATTCGAGGTACGTTCGCGTATTTGGTAATTATTTAAGTGTATAGGAGCATGTTAGGCTTTGATTAATTAATTCAAGGTAGCATCATGATGGGTGTTGATTGGAATTGGTTTTTGGATGGATGTTGGTGATTGATTTGTGAAGTACGATATATTTTTGGTGAATTGATGATTGGAATTAATTATATTGGCATGTTGATTATGAACCACACTTTTATTATTGGCATGATTGAGAGCATGTTTAATTAAACTAAATGTTTAATTTGGTTTGGAATATTGAAAGAGAATTTTATTATGGTTCATATAATTTTTATAAATGCTATAAGCATGGGAAAGAAGCTATTTAAGTGTCTATGTACACGAGGATTAAATTATATTTTGGTGCCTAAGTGCACTTAAGGTGTTCTAAACACTGAGGGATATGATTTGTGGTGCTTTATGCACTTAAGGTTTTATTTAACACAGAGGTAGCTTTAAAAGGATTCAACATTAAAATTTATGAGGTCACTAATTATTCAAGAATTAAATTGGTATGTTTGATTGCTTGAATGATTGATTGTGTTATGGTTTGAGAGTCATCACCAAGTCTAAAATATGTAAACAACGTAAAGTGAAAGAGATTACGCACTAAAACTCTTGGAATGTATATACCTTGAGTATGAACATATGGGGGGAGTTATGCGACTTTATATGTGACCACAACTTCTACTGGGAGTATAGGACGCTGTATTTTCCTTTTTATTATGCGCAGGAAATCCGCCACGTACGAGTAGTTCTTTTACACTGGCACGATTAGCTCTCGTGTTAGTACCCCTTTGTTGGTGAAGGTTAGGGGGAAACCTATTCGATGCGTAATCAAGCTAAATAAGTAATCTAGTTATTTTTTGGTTGGTTATGTTGTATGTTATATGCTTGTAAACAGGTGCAACAAGGTAAGTTGTGTGATGATAGGATGAAAGCATGTTAGTGTGTACTGTTTACGCTTATGTACTCAGCATTGCTGATTGTGTGTATGTTTGTTTGGCCTTGTCTTTATCTTGGCCCTACGACGACCCAGGTCCAATGGCGAGTAGTGGGGACAAAGTAAAGAAGAGCTTTTCAGGTGATGAAGCATATTCATGATGGGCATGAGTGAAAAGCGAATGATGTTTAGTTTCCATAAGAATATGATGTGGTTTATTGCTTTGATTGTTATATATTTTGCTTGTGAGACTAATACAATGGTTTTAAATATTTATTTCGGTTTTGATAAGGGCCTACAGTGGTTCCAAGTTGTAGGTTGATTTCGTTTGACTTTTGTTTGACTTTATCTTCGTTTGGTTTGACTTTTTAAGTTAACTTGTTTTGAATGGTTTTAAAGAGAGTCTTCCGCGGTGTGTTTTTGATAATTACCTAAGCCGTTTCCACGGTGGCGGTAATGTCTTAAAATTTCCTATTTCGTATTTCTAAAAGAGGACAATAGGTATTTTAAAGGAAGAAATTTTTAGGGTGTTACAAAGTGGTATCTGGAAGCTTTGGTTGAGATTTTTATTACCACTAAAGCCAAAAAAATGTTTTAAAATATTTTGTTTTAAACTTGGCCAAGTATTTATTTAATCAAGTAATTTTAAAAGTGAGTTATTTTATTTTATTTTAAAATGACCAAATTTTTTTTATAATTTTGGGAGACATACTAATTTTATTTATTTATTTTTTTTTAAGTGGGAACATCAGTTTTTTTTTTTTTTTTTTTTTTTTTTTTTTTTTTTTTTTAATTAGGGTGTTTGAAAATTTTTATATGATGGTCGAATGTTTTGACCTTTTTCGGAATTTATTTTCGAAATTGTTTAAAAAGAAAAGAGGAGTCAAAAATATTTTTAGTTTGTTCATTTTGCAGGGAAACGAAGGATTAAGGTAAGAATTATGTGTTAAAAGCTTTAAAAAGCATGTTGGTGAGTTTGGGTAGGAAAGAATTTGCGCATATAAGTTAGAAATAATCATGTTCTTATATGCATTTATATTTAGGTTGTGATGTTTGATCATGTGAATTCATTGATTGGAAGCATGTATTATGTGATTAGAAATAAGTGAGATTGTTTGATTGAACATTGAACCTAATTCATGCAAGAACACATTATTTTCTTTGGGAAGGGAACTCTTTTCTAAGTTTTTTCCATTACAGGATGCCGATCTTTCCTAGCAAACACTCCTAAATTGGTACTCTAATTAAGAAAGAAAATGAACATCCCTTTGACTATGTCAAGAAAAATCGTTTCTACTATTCTTACATGAGCGATGTCCTAGGAGACAAGCATTATGACCTTCCTAATTGTGTTTCACTGTCTTCCAGATGAACCCCCATATCTTGCTGTCAAAGCAAAGTTTTCTGATTTTTTACTTACCTGGGGACATCCCAAATTACTCCAAATACAAAGATTATTATGGACAGTGGTATCCTGATTACAGATACTTAATTGATTTCTTATCTCGTTTGAGTTGAGAAATATCATTGTGAGCACTTACACATTCCATATCCCAACTATTACTACGATAATCCAACAGGGAATGATCCCCCTTCCACTAGTCATCAATCAAGAAATTTTTCTCCACCACAGGGTAATCAAGCAATAACAGATGGAGGGTAAGAGGAAGGAGAGCTAATGGATGAGAGTAACCATTGTTGATAGTTCCATTATGGAGATTCCAAATCCAAATCCACCCCCAACTCCAATTATAATTGACATTTCATCTGACGATGAGGAAGATGAAAAGTTCATTCAAGTAGAACAAAATCCAAAGACACCTGAACCAATGGAGGAGGAAGATGACCACGAATTCGATCCTGGAAGCTACAAACAATCGAAGGACAAGAAGGACAATGTCCGAAAGGACTAGATTTTTTAAAGTTTCACTTTTCTTAGGATTCTTAGATTCATTTCCGCTTTTTATTTATTTCATTTTTAGTAAAAAAAAGTGGTATAACCACAGTGAGTCAATAAACCTATTGAGCTGCGTGGGTTATTCAAACTCATTTCATTTCATTTTCTTACTCGGCAATAAAGTTCTATTCATTTCCTTGCCAAATCATTCATTTCATTTCCAAATCATTCATTTCGTATCACTACTCCAGTAAGCCATTTTTTACTCAAATATTCCAATAATTCATTTCTAAACTCTAGGAATCATGGGAATTATTTTTATTTATTATTGTGATGCTTTATTAAATGTATGGTTGGTTAGCAATCAAAATTTGGTTGATCAAGCTACAAAGTTTGGGAATTGTAATGTTGCAATCTCAATTTGTTAGCTTAAAATTAAATGTGTGTGTATAAGAGGTATGAGTTAGTTAGATGGGTGTATAATTTGAGAGCTAACCATGACCATGATTAATAAAAACCCCTTGTTTTAATTCAGGCAAAGAAAGATGGCACGAGGAAGTGGGAATAGTAATGAAGGGAATGAGCTGAGTGAGGTTGTGAGGCAGTTGGCAGCAGTCGCCCAGCAATTAGCAAGAAACTCGACCAACAATGGAGATGCTCATGGAGAGTTGTTTAAGAAGGTGGCGCAAAGCAAGCCACCAACCTATCAAGGCGAACCTGATCCAACGGTGCTGGAAAACTGGTTAAGGGAATTTGAGAAACTGTTTGGGGGAGTTGAGTGCCCAGAAAATTCTAAAGTAGGCTGTGCTACCTATTACCTTAGGGGTGAAGCTGACCTTTGGTGGCAACAAAATGAGGCTACCATTAAGGCATTACCTGGGTTCAAATGGACTATGTTTCAGGAGAAGGTTAGAGACAAGTTTTACCCCAGTTTTCTACAGAAACAAAAAGCTGAGGAATTTTCTAACTTAGCAATGGGATATATGTCAATCAATGAGTACTATACTAAGTTTATTGAGTTATCACGATTTGCCAAGGAGTTTGTTGCTACAGAAAAAGCAAAGGCTAGAAAGTTTGAGAGTGGATTGACCACTGATTTACAGCTAAAGTTGAGTGGATAAGTGTTCAAAACCTTGGATGAAGAGTATGGGAGGTCTGCACACCTTTATGTGTTGGAGTTGAAGAAAAAGAAAGAATTAGATGAGGTGGAAGGAAAAGGAAAGAGAAAGGAGGTGGGCCAAAACTCTGGAAACCCGCAAGGTAATCAGAACAATTTCAAGGACCACCATAACAACAACAACAACAACTTCCACAACAACAATAATTTTCAGGGTAACAATCGCCAAGGTGGACGAAACTTTAATGGAGGAGATAAGAACTCTAACCAGGGAAATAATAGCCAAGGTACCTATAGTAATTCCTACGGGAGGGGTAGTACAGTGTACCAAAACCTTTAAGAAAGTGTTATTAGAGATCAAGGGGAAAGTGTTTTTGTTTGACCTCATCGAGTTTGGATTAAGTGACTTTGATGTCATTTTGGGAATGGATTGGTTGAGCAAGTATAGTGCACAGATTTATTGTCGATCGCAGAAAGTACAGATAATTACAGCTAAGGGTGAGTTGGTAACATATTAGAAGCAAGGTAAAACAAAGTGTCCAAGGATCATATCTATGATGAAGTTGGAAAGGTATATTAAGAAGGGACATCCAGTATACTTTTGTAGTGTGAGGAATTTAGAAAATGAAGAAGCATCTAAGCCTGAGGACATAGAAGTGGTGAATGAGTTACTGGACGTATTCCCAGACGAAATTCTAGGAATACCACCTAAGAGGGCAATTGATTTCATAATAGAGTTGGTCCCAGGAACAACACCAATTTCCAAGGCTCTTGTAACATCCCCAAATCTCCCTCTACGGAAATACTAGTATAATATGTATTATTATACCGTAGAGATAGACTTAGGCGTATTACTGTCGCGTGATTAAGCAAGGCTACTCAAACTGCTAACCAAAACCAATACTTTGCAGCAGAAATTCAAACTCTTTCTTTATTAATAATAACTATAAATAGAAACCATCGTCATGAGTACTCATAAATAAACAAAGACCAACATTCCTAATTTAGGTGAAGAACATTCCCGGGACTCCCATATGCTTAATTCTTGACTCCACCTGAAAATAGTCAACACTCTTATAATTAAGGTAAACAGGGCGAACCAAAACAAATAGGAAATATGGATTAGCAAAATATGCTAAGTACGATAAGTGAAAGATAAGTAAATTCAATTTATTTACAAACATGCTTTTAAAACCAATTCCAATAATTAATCCAATGAATTCCAAAACTCATGATTTCAAATCAATTCCAATAATTCAATAATTCGATGAAACGATTTATCAAACCAATTCCTCCTTTGAAAACCAATTCCTCTTTTGAAAACCAATTCTCAAATATTCTCAAAATAATTCCAATAACTCAATAACTCAATAATAATAATTATTAACAAAAACTCAATTTCCTCTCTAAGTGTGCACATCCCCCAAGCTAGTCTCCTACTACTTCAAGGCTATTCTTGAAGAAAGACTAGGTCATACAAAGTCCATAGTCTTTATTGAATCCGCATAGTGGGATTAATATAATAATCATGCTTATAAAGCTTTTATAAATAATTCAATAATTCTCATGAAACTCCTCTTTGAATAAAATCAACCTTTATAATAGGTTAACTCAAAAATACTTTTTATTTAATTCAACATGCTTTCAAAATCAACTTTTAATAAATACTTGAGAATTAAATCTCATATAAATAACTTTTCAAAATCAATAACTCTTCCTTTGAAAAACCTTTTTAAAAAACACTTTAAAACAATCCAACATACTTTTTAAAACCAAATTCATTTAAACATAATAAATAGTTTCAAACCATTCAAAACATGATAATAAAATCAATCCTTCAAAAATACATTTATTAAAACAAATATTAAAATCAATTCCTCCAACCATACTTTATTTCATAAATCATAATACAAATCAATTTAATTCAATCACCAATAAAATCATATACAACATGCTATTCAAACCAATCACTTTCGAAGTATCTAGCTACCTAAACGTACCTTGATTTTGAATATCAATCAACACTTCGCACTTTCAAAGTTCAATCACGAATACACCTTGCAATTAACATAACCATAAGATTATCACAACATCTTTAGACATAAACCCAATCTAATGTGCATGGACTATAAAACTCTTTAAAAATAATACTTTAATATAAAAGTATAGCTTTGAAAAAAGTATTTATATTTTAGAAAACAAACCATGAAGAAAATAAAGGAATAGGATTAAAGAGAATTAGATTTGCGTTGGAAAGAATAGGCAGAACTTGCAGAGGCCATAACTCATTCAATATAACTTCGAATTGGGTGATTCTTGAGCCTAACCTCAAGGATTGTTTGATAGGAACAATTTTCTATGAAATAGAAAAACCCCAAAATTGACCAGAAGTGCCCGAAAATTGGCTCCAAAGATACACGGGCTGATTATGTATGAAAAGAGTAGAAAGAAAAGTATGAAAAGGTTTAGGGAAAAGAAGAGTAAGAGAGAAGAAGAGAATTGAGTTTTTTTGGTGTGAAGAATATGAGAGGTATGAGGGGGTATTTATAGGCTAGCTCATGCAAGAATTATGGTAGAAGAATGTAGGAAGAATTATGGTAAATTGGTTTAAGAATATTACTTAGAGAAGAGAGCTTAAGAATGATGGAAAGCCTAGGTTATGGTGATTAAGTAATTAAGAAATAAGGTAAGTATGTAGTCATGAAATATTAAATGGTAAATGTCTTTGCGTGGGGAATAATCAAGAATGATTTAAGGTAGGGAAATAAGATGATCAAATATTTAGGAGATGGAAAATTAAAATTAAGGAAAATAATAGAGTTGAGGAAGATAATTAAAATACAAAAATTACCAAAATAATTTTGCTCAAAATACAATATGGTGGCCGAAAATTTGGGCTTTCCTAAGATCATATTTTCAGACCTCCCTTTAAATATTTAGGCAATTATTTTGCTAGTTTTTAAGGAATAAAAATGATTGTGTAAATAATATATTTTGTATAAAATAATTAATTAGAAAAATACCAATTGTTCACTAATTAATTTAACTAAGAAAATTAGATTTTCTACACTTAGAAAATCTGAAAATCCTAGATAATTAATTAGGGAAATTCGGCCCTTTAAATTAAATAAGAAAATATAATTTTACTTAATAAAAATATCCGAAATATATATAAATAATCCGATTTTTAAAATAAAATAAATGGATAATAAATCTTATCCAAAAATCCAAATAACAATTGAGTTTTAAAATGTTTTTGGCGCCAAAATTCAAATATCATTTTGGCTCCGAAATTCATATAGTAAAAAATACCTTTTAAGAAAATACTAATTAATTAATTAATTAATTAGAAAATACGTTTCAAAAATACAGATTATTACAGCTCCATATCGAATGGCACCTGCAAAAATGAGTGAGTTAAAGGAGCAGTTGCAAGACTTACTAGAAAAGGGATACATTAGACCAAGTGCTTCACTATTGGGAGCTCCAGTACAATGTTGTTTGTTATGAAAAAGGATGGGAGTATAAGGTTATGTATTAACTAGAGGGAGTTGAATAAGGTCACCATAAAGAACAAGTACTCATTACTAAGGATTGATAACCTATTTGACCAATTGAGGAGCGCTTCTGTGTTTTCCAAGATTGATTTAAGATCTGGATACCATCAGTTGAGGATCGCAGACGAAGATATTCCCAAGACTTCATTTAGAACAAGGTATGGACATTATGAGTTCACAGTAATTCCATTTGGATTGACGAATGCTCTAGCAATCTTTATGGACTTGATGAATAGCGTGTTCCATACATTTATGGACAAGTTTGTCGTGGTGTTCATAGATGATATACTGGTTTATCCAAAGAGTAAGGAGTAATATGTGGAACATTTGAGGGAAATTCTACAAACTTTAAGGGAGAACAAGCTTTATGCGAAGTTTTCCAAGTGTGAGTTTTGGTTGGAGAAAGTACATTTCTTGGTCACTTTGTGTCCAAGGATGGGGTAGAAGTAGATCCAGCAAAGATTGAGACAGTGAAAGGATGGCCTACGCCAAAGACGATGTCTGGAATTAGGAGTTTCTTAGGTTTAGCAGGGTATTATAGGCGTTTTGCGAAGGAATTTTCTAAGATTGCTAAGTCTATGACCTCTCGAATGAAGAAGGTTAAGAAGTTTGAGTGGGATGACAAGAGTGAGGAAGCTTTCCAACTCTTGAAACAAAAATTGATTTCAGCACCAATGCTTACACTACCAGATGATAGTGGAGTCTATGATGTATATAGTGATGCATCCAAGAATGGTCTAGGATGTGTGATTATGCAAAATGGGAAGGTGATTGCATATACATCAAGACAATTGAAACCTTATGAAATAAACTACCTTACTCATGACTTGGAATTAGTTGCAATCATTTTCGCATTAAAAATTTGGAGACATTACTTGTATGGAGTGAAATGTAGGATTTATACAGACCATAAAAGTTTGAAGTACATTTTCACCCAAAGAGATCTAAACTCACGCCAAAGAAGATGGTTGGAATTTGTAACGAACTACGACCACTAGTAGAAAAAATAAAATATGCACCGCACTTTTCGCACCGGTTCTTGAAAACCGGTGGTAAAAGAAATGGGCGGGATTGAGAAAAAGACTTTTCGCACCGGTTCCTATTAAACCGGTGCGAATTAAAAAAGAGAAAAAAAGGGAGAAAGGGATTTCGCACCGGTTCAAACCAAACCGGTGCGAAATAGTGTTATAGCACCACTTTGAACCGGTGCGAAATAAAAAAAAAATCGGGGTATACGTTACTCTGCTTCTGCTTCTTCTTCTTTCTTTCTTTCCCCCTGCTTTTCATTTTCAGTTTTCTCTCACTCTCGTTTTCGCCCTTCTCTTAGCTTCGTGTCTTCGACCACTTCTGAAGTTCCACCTTTCTCCATATCTCTCCTCCATTATGCGTGCTCGTAGTTCTCCATTGAAGCGCATTCTGAGCTTTGTCCATATCACTCCTCCACTAA